TTCTGGGTGCGTAAGTGGAATGTTCTCTTACAAAATCAAAGCTGCATATGTTGTTTCATCATTTCCTGGTGATTTTTCCCCCTCTAGTTAACAAGGGGTACCCCTACCTATGTTAAAACTTCCCACCTTCCCATCAAGTATTTAAAAGCATCTGGCCGCCCTTAGCCAGCTAAGTTTACCTCCTAAGCAACACTCTCTTTCTTTGAATACAGGCTGCCTCTTTTACAAAAGATATTAAACCAAATAAAAGGCAAGTCTTAGAGTGGCAGAAAGTAAATTTTTCATTGAAAGAAGGGAAAACTCATTTTGGTAAAAAGTACAAACAGTCCCTAAGGATATCAGTAGCAAGTATTTTAATACATTAGCAGGTGAGGCAGTCCACAGCTTTCTGTGCTGTGGAACTCTAAGCCCGGGGACTAGGAGGTTGTCACACCGTAAACCACTCTTGTTCTCCAGCTTCAGCTCGGCTTTCAGTGCTGCTAGGCTTGTTCCCGCTTGTCCCCCCTCCAAGGTTTCCTCAGCTCCCAAGTCCTATCACTTCTTTCTCCCCTCTTCTAGTCTCAGACCTTTCTGCCTTCTCTTCTCATTCTCAGCAGTAGGTAGTTGATTTCTACTTTCCAAAGTTTTAAGTTCTTTAAATGAATGTGAAAAACATATTAATCTTATTTAAACAAGTTTTTATTTCACATGTTGTTCGCCATATATGCTTTTTTCTCTCCACACGTATATTTTGCTGAACTATTTAAGAATTACCTGTAGACACTGTAATTCTTATTGAGTATGTCAACATGTTATCTCCTAAAAACAATGACATTCTCTGCATAACTAAAAACGATCACACCCAATAAATTTAACATTAATATAATGCTGTTATCTAGTGTATGTATCTTTCCCCCACTGTTCCAGTGCCTTTACCAGCTTTTTAGTTGTTGGATCTAGGCCCATTCAAGGATGATGCATATCTATAGTCTTAGTTCCTCAGTCTTTTTATCTTTAATGATATTGACATTTTTTAAAACTAAGAGTTGACAATTTCATTTTTACATTTCACAATACAAGTAACATAAACTGATAGAGGCTCCCTCTTTGGAGAGTCCAGGCCACTTGGTGTGCAGAATGTCCCTCCATTTGGGTTTATTTGCAGTTTGTTTCCTCATAATTAGATTCAGGTGGAACGGTTTTGGTAGGAACGCTTCCTAGGTGATATGTCGAGTGCATCACATCAGCACACATACCAGTTCTCTAAGAGAGTGCTACTCAGTTTGATTGCTTGGTTAAGGCAGCATCTGCCAGATTTCTTCAGCCACCCTTTTCCCTGCAGGGTGACTTTTTGACACTATGTGAACATCTTGTTCCTTAAATTTCACTCAGTGGTTTTAGTACATGGAATGATTCTTGCCTGAGTCAGTTATTATTAGGGTGCATGTAAATGGCGATTTTCTATTTGTTATTCTTTCTATAATTGCTATTTGACTTCTTTTGGAAAAGAGCATTTTTAATACCATTTGGATTCATGGATTCTTATTCTCAAACCAGTGTTATAATCCATATTTCTATCATTTATTTTGATGCTTGTCTCATATTTGGCCAGTGGAAGCTCCTTCAAGGTAGCTCCTGTCTTTTATTTTTATTTGTAAATAATTTCAAACTTACATAAAATTGTAAGAATAGTACAAAGGAATACCCATATATCCTTTACTCCAGTTTACCTATTCTTAACACGCCATTTGCTTCATTATTTGCATTCTATATACGTGTTTTTTTCTGTACCCTTTGAGTAGGTTGTGTACATCATCACTCTACTCTTAAATACTATAGTATTACCTAATAGGAATGTTCTCTTACAAAATCAAAGTATAATGTTGATGTTTTTATCTAATCCGTCATCCATATTCTAGTTTTGTTAGCTGACCCAATAACGTCCTGTATGATTTTTCGTTCTAGTACAGGATCCAGTCTAGCATCCGGTCTATCTTTAGATACCATGTCTTTCTAATTTTTTTTATTCTACACCATTTCCACAGGCTTTATCCTTTATGACAATGTCATTTTTTAAGTCTCTTCTCTCCCCAAGCCCTGACTTCTTTAGAAACACTAATGTGTTTCATTTGGGACTTTTCTCATTTGTCCTGATGGTTAGATTCTGGTTTTGCATTTCAGGGATAGCACATAAATGATGTGTCTTTCTCAGGGCATCACATCTGGAGGCATGGTGGTGTTAATATTTATTTTTGATTTGATAAGCATAAACAAACAAAAATAAAATTGTAAGGCTTGCAAATATCGTTAACACTTCCCCCTAGAGTTTAGCAACTATCCATGGATGGTTCTTGCCTAAGCTAGTCTTGAGTATGATGATTGCAAAAATTTTCTAACTTTAGCACTCCCTCTGCATTTAACCAGCATCCTTTCCCCCATTTGTTTATTATTGGTAGGGGTTAATTCCTATTCTTCACAAGAGGTTCATTTCTGTCAATTATTTTGGTGCTCAAATTGTCCCAGATTTGGGCCAATAGGAGTATTATTGGTTTTTTTAAATCCTCACCTGAAGACATGTTTTTATCAATTTAGAGAGGAGGCAGGGTAGGAGAGAAAAACATTGATTGGTTGCCTCCCATATGCGTCCTGACCAGGGATTGAACCAGCAACTTAGCCATGTGCTCTGACCAGGAATCTGAACCGGCAACCTTTTGATGGCACTACAACCAACTGAGTCACCTGGCCAGGGCAGGAGTACCTTCAGACTAGCTTGAGTCCTTTTGACATGTCTTTATAATTTGTTGAGTACTCCTTTCTGCTTTCTACACAAAACACATGTATATTCATTATATTTTTATGTTTGCCCATATACACATATATAAAAATTAAAACCTTGAGTTCACATTGATAAACCCCAATAAAAAAATATAGGGTTCATTCTATTTTCCTGACAGTGAGAAACCTGATTCCCATTATCCTTACGATAGCTGATTAATGCCCCGTATGTAACTAATCTCCCATCACTGTTGCTGCCTCCTTGGTAGGGAGATCCTCCTTACCTTTCTTGGGCTGCCCCCCTACCGTGGATGCCTGCTTTATTCACTCCACTTAATATTTTAGGACTGGATTGTTCCAGGAAGGAAAAGAAGGGCAAGAAAATGACAAACATCAGTTTTTTAGTACTTTCTTATTTTCTACCATATTTTCCTAGAAATATCTAGTAAATACTAAAGGTATGACCAATCATGGCTACTAAGCTAGATTTGGGTTAAGTATTCTTTTTTATTTTTTTTAATATATTTTATTGATTTTTTACAGAGAGGAAGGGAGAGGGATAGGGAGTTAGAAACATCGATGAGAGAGAAACATCGATCAGCTGCCTCCTGCACACTCCCTACTGGGGATGTGCCCGCAACCAAGGTACATGCCCTTGACCAGAATCGAACCTGGGACCCTTGAGTCCACAGGCTGATGCTCTATCCACTGAGCCAAACCAGTTAGGGCAGGGTTAAGTATTCTTTTACTGTTAATACTTTCCTTCTCTCTCTCTCCCCCTAAATTCACATAATGCTCAAATTTAGGCAGAGGTTAGCTTAGCAGTGATTGGGATGCAGTCAGATTTTGAGATTTTCTGTGGGGCGGGAAAGGGAAAGTGGCCGGGATACCTTACACCAGAGCAAAGTTGAAAAGCAGGTATTGGTACTCAAACAGGAAACATTTCCCTGTCATCTGAAACCATGTGAAGTTCTGGTTAGTTTATCATTTGTTATTTATAAACTGGCCTAAGATAAAGTAATAAAAGGCCTAGAGGGCATTTCAGATGTCTAGAAAAATTAGGGTTCTTCAAAGTATGAGATAATAGGATAATAGGAATCAAGCTTAGATTTTGGGTGAACATAAACTATCTTAAGGTGTGTACGCTGAAGCTTAAAAATCGTCTCAGATCAAGTGCCTTTCGTACGGGAGGGATGAAAAGGCAGCACAGCTGTGTTTAACAACACGGACCTGAGCTAGACTGTCTCTGCCATCAGCTAACTGTTTGACCTATGGCACACGTTATGTAACTTCTCTGTGCCTCAGTGTTCTCATCTATAGAATTGGGATGGTAGTTGTACTTATTTCAAAGGATTGGGAGGATTAAATGTATTTTATACAGTGTGTAGAGCAGTGCCTGATACATAGCTCTATAAATGTTTGCTTATGCTCATGATAGGATAAAGACTGAAAATACAGAGACTCAGGTAGCATTTTGATACTATTTCAGATCTAAAATGGAGTAAAGAAAATGTGTGATTACTTGGTGCATGTTGATCTTTACGGTTGACATAAAAGATAACTATCATACTCTCCCTTAGGTTGTGCTACTGTCAGTGCTGGGCTTGATGGATCATTGGTTAGAATAGAAAAAAAGTAAACAATTACTGTTGCTTTTTGTTCATTAATCTAGAAACTGAAGTTATTAGAGGAAGAGACAGACTCCCCTTTGCTGCTGTGGCAACCTGTCTTCCATAGTCAGTTGCTTGAACAAATCCTGTTCTTTTACTCACCTTCTTAATTTGTTGTGTGTTTTCTTTGCTCTCTCTCTAACCCACACCCTCCATTTCTGAATCTATTTCATACTACTCCAGAGGCATGAATGATTTGACAGGTCAACCTGGCGAGGTAAGTTTGTATAATCAATTTTGATTTGTTAAAGTTAAGGCAAACCATATTTTGTTTAAACATACCTACACACCTGATGGATTTTAGCTGAATAGCACTACTGAAAAACTGTCATTTTGCCCAGCCGGCGTATGGCTCAGTGGTGGTGTTGACCTATGACCAGGAGGCCATAGTTTGATTCCCGGTCAGGGCACATGAGGACTGTGGACTTGGCTTGATCTCCAGTGTGGGGCATACAGGAGGCAGTCGATCAATGACTCTCTCTGATCACTGATGTTTCTATCTCCCTCTCTGAAATCAAAAATATATTAAACACACACACAAAAACCTGTTGTTTTTTTTCTCTCTTCTCCCTTTAGAATTACGGCGAGCAGTAAGAAGCAGTGTATGGAAAAGGGAAGTGGTTGCTCACCAACATGAGTATGGACCAGAAGAAAACCTAGAAGATGACATGTACCGGAAGATTTGTACTATATGTGGCCATGAATTGACATATGAGAAAATGTGATTTGTAGTTAAATGATCTGTTTTACAGAGTTTTAGGTTTAGATATAAGAAATTTACATTGGTCTTATTCAAAATTCACAAAAATATGTCTTTATAGGTGAAATAGTTGTATAAATAATGCTTCAGTACTAAGTATGTATGTTATGGCTTAAGAGCAAGTGTCAGTTAAGGTCTAGCACGTCTTGTGGGCTAAATACTGGGTCTGATAATTTTTTCTGGAATAGGGATGGGAGCTGAGTGGTACAGTATGTTTAAACCCTGCCAAGTCAGCAAAAAAGGAGCTACTACTGGGACAAGTCCTGGTTAATAACAGGAATAGAGAATGAATTGTAGGGGTCTGATCATGTTTTCTGTATTTGTAGGGTTTACTATAGGCCCTAATATTAGTTGCTACATAGCCCTGTTCAAATCTGGATTAAAATGGAAAAACAACCAGGAAGGTAATTATAGTCAGTTTGTCATTACTTGCTAACATTTACTGAGCACTTACCATGTGCCAGGAAACCATTATGCTAAGTGCCTTACAGATATTCTAATTAAATCCTGGGAGGGAAGACAGCTTGCTTCTTTGCTTATTTAGCACTTGGAAAGGAAATGATAACCAAAAACCTGACCAAGAAAGGCAAAAGTCAAAACAAAACAAGTCAAACCCAAAGAGGCTTGACTATAATTACTAATTATTCTCTTTATAAGTATTCAATACAGAAATGTTAAATATATTTTTTTGTGTGTGTGTTTTTTTTTAATATGCTATGCTAAATATTACAGCTCAATAAAAATTATTTCTGAACGGGCAGAAGACCTTCCTGGGACAAAAAAAAAAAAAGCTTCCAGCTTGGTGACAACAGAGTAACTAGGAGTTCAGGCTGCTGACAACAGCATTACTGCATTGGGAGATAAGGAGCCCTTGAGCCACATGGATTTAGGTTCAGATTCACTTACTAGCTGTGGACCTTGGGTAAGTTACTTGGACTTGGGCCGATTTTATCTGGGCATAATAACACATCTCTTAAAAACTTATGAGGATTGAATATGGTGAATCTGTAGAATGTGGAACATAACAGCCACTCGTTAATGAGCACATATTGTCATCAAGACCAATAGTTATAGATTTGTCTGAGATATAGTCCTACTCACTGTTTTTCATCATTTTAAGACAATCCTGGTATCCAGTTACTAATGACAGCCAGGTCTGCTCTGGTTAGGTTGGCAAGTTCACTACTAAATATTTTTCTAGTAAAAGCAAACAAACTTATCTTCATAGGAACTGCTTCCTGAGTAATTCCTGGAAGGGAAATTTAGAATCGGGGAAAACAAAAGTATATGTTCAATTTGACAAAAGATGGTAAATGGCATCTGAGTAGACTATATTCTATAGTCACTAAATGTATGGTAAACCAAAGAGGTCATATGTTAATAAGAATGAATGCATTGTAAACTTATGATAGGTTATCTTTTTAAAACTTATTCTATGTTGCACAAATGCTCAAAAATACTACCATTTGTTTGTGTTTTTGTTTTTATAGATTTCAGAGAGGGAGAGATAGAAACATCAATGATGAGAGAGAATCATTGATTAGCTGCCTCCTGCATGCCCCCTACTGGGGATCGAGCCCGCAACCCGGGCATGTGCCCTTGGCTGGAATCGAACCTGGGACCCTTCAGTCCGCAGGCCAACGCTCTAGCTACTGAGCCAAACCAGCTAGGACCAGTTGTGGGGTTTTATTAAATTTTTTCTAAGGTTTAATGAAAAAAATCAAAATGCTAGATAATCCCTTAAATTTGTTTGTTATTTTACAGTGCAATCTCATTATCTTAGTTAAGTCTCAACACCATATAGGAAACAGGCTCAGAAATAAGTTATTTGGACCAGGTTCTATAGAAACAAAATCCAAACCTAAATCTAATCCCAAGTATAGAGTTTTAGCTAATTTAGCTATTTCTGGAGGAAATGACCAGGACCTCTAAGATAATGGTTCCCAAACTTGTCTGCACATTAGAATTGCACAAAAGCCTTAAAAACTATGGATGGTATGTGTTGCATGCCCCCCCCCCCCGAAATTGTGATTAATTTTAAAAATAACTGCTGAAGGTTGCCAGGTGACTTATGTTCAGACAGATTTAGGAACTGCTACTCTAACTTTTTAAATACAACTATTTTAAGGGAAAACTTCAAATGGAGGTAAGTACACCTTCAGTAAGAAATCACTAATTTTAAAGTAGACTGAGATGATAAATCATGAAATACCAAAATGTAAAAAACATATTTTTAGTTTTATTTTAGCCATGTTAGGTTATCCATAAGCTGTGAAAAGCTATGCTACTTGGTAATAAACCCATTGTTTCTATATACTACTTTGTAAGCTTGACCTCTAGGGTTCACATACCTCAAATCAGTTATCTTTTGTGCCTTAAGGAGAAAAAATGTCAATCAGAAAAGTTGTATCTGTCACATATAATACATCCTATGGTCATCGATCGTCACATTGTCATTAGGGAATATTTTTTTAGGGGTAATTACAGGCAACCAATGTCATATTCTTCACTGTCCTCCCTCTGTTTCCTTTATAAAGTGAAAGGAGCTACATGAAAGCAAGCATTCAAACCATCCGAAATAAGACAAATTAGACTTTAAAAAAAATCTTGACATGAAAGGAAAAAGGACCCCTTAGGCCTGTAGGGCACAGAACTGCTGGAACACAGCCAGGATGTGAGGGTCCAATTCAGCAGTGAAGAGCAGGTTCTCCAGGGTCACCATGTACTGCTGGATTATTTGGTGATGCTGTGGACACAAAAGGAGCATATAAGCAATCTTCCAGAATATTCCCCTCAGCAGCCCACCCATGCTGTGAAATGATGGGAATAACGGGCCCCTGAAAAGCCCCAACATTTGTAGAGGGAAATGAGGATGTTCAATAACTTTTAAAAAATGCAGTTCTGACCAGCTTCTATATAAATGCATTCATGCCTCATTAGCGATGCCTGCTGCTATCACTATTAGACTAGGTTAAGCTGGGTCTCTCTACTCTAATGAGGACAAAACAATATGACTTTAATAAAAGTAGCCCAGATAGGGATTGACCTAGGACGATTTTTTTAAAAGATGGAAGGTGGTATATGTTACAAATAGGAGTAGCACAATTGCTACTGTTTAAAACCATGGTTCTGAAATGTAAGAAAAATTTTGGAATCTCTTTGCAAAAGAAAAACATTAATAGAGATTAATAGAGAATTACCCAGTGATCTATTAATCTTTTTAAAATAGCTCATCTGTCCTATTGGAAATCACTGACTTACTAAGCCTATGTTAGAAAATGAAATCTTTTCTATATGCACCTATATAACTTGAATATACTCAGAGATCCCAAAAGAATTAGGGGTTGTTTTAATTGGCAATAACTAAATCTAGAGAGAATTTTTATTTGGAGATTTTAAAGAACTTTTTTTCCTTTTATGACTTCTAATTCATTAACTTTTCTAGAATAAATGAGGATTTGGGCTGTTTTGGAAGACACAGAATTGGTTCCACTCTCCTACCAAGCTTTAATGTAACTTTACTTTTCTAAGGGCACTTTTATCATCAGATTTAAGGACCTTTGTTAATATAATTACTATTCCCTGAACATTTGTTCTCTGCATTTTGTATTAAGCTAGGCTTTCTAGCAGAGAATGGCAATTAGGAGTTGGTGATAAGAACCAATTTAAGCCTAAATATTCTGAGCAACAGTAGGAGCAAATGGAGATGAACTAAAGTACTTATGGGTATTATATAACCTCCTGACAAATTTTATGATTTTTAAAAATGTAGTATCTTTGCAGCTGAGAATAGTGATATTTATTATCTAATCAGATTCCCACAAACCTGTAAGAAGATCTGCTGGAGCCTCTCTATACAGTTTTTATACCACGGTGTTAATATGCTGGTCCCGTCCGTCTCACATCGTACTAAATGCTCAGTCAAGATCATGATAAAGCGCTGGAAAGGGGTTACAGAGTTAGAGGTGTTAAGAGTGAATTAATTCTTCAGAAACAATCACACTTTTGACCAAGAGACTGTAAAGGTGCTATCTGTTCTGCTGTCTTTATGATATGTAACTTTCATAATTCAACAAATATTGTCTACAAAGGCACACCAGTAATAATGTGAGTTAGTACATCCTCTTCTAGATTACTTAGGACATAATCAGAAATGTTAAAGAGGAATCTATGCACAATAATGTTCATCAAGAAGAAAAACAGTCATTAAATGATAATGATTGGGCATAATGAGATAAGTATTTAACATAAACATTCTGAGTTTTTAAAGCCTGGAAAAATGCTCATGCAAGAATGCTGAGTAAGCAACACAATTTGGAGATATACATGGTTAACCCCAAGTGCTCAGCTTTTATTTCCTTTGTATTTTTAACTTTTATAACTACAAATAACATTTTTTAAACTAAAGGAATATATATTTCTTTTTACATATCAATGACCCAAGCCAAAATACCTGAAATATGACAAGGAAGAGGTTCTTTTGTTCACTCTGAGCGGATTCCACTTTTTCCTGCAGTCTTTCTATTTGCTCTTCAAGAGCCCCATCTTTCCTGTCACTGCTTCTGTCATCATCATCACTTCTCTACAGAAAGCAAAGGAACAAAAGGAAAATGCCATTTAGAATGCTACTGTATTAAATCCCATCAAGTAAGGGAAATACTTTATTCTGTCCGATCAAATACTATTTGGAGACTTGTATTCTATTTTTTAAAGTATGTTTTTATTGATTTTTTTTAGAGATAGAAACATCGGCGGCTGCCTCCTGCATGGCCCCCACCAGGGATTGAGCCCACAAACTGGGAATGTGCCCTGATGAAAATCAAACTGGTGACTTCTTCATTCATAGGTTGATGCTCAACCACTGAGCCACACGGGCTGAAGGCTTGTGTTCTATAGGGAAAGTACCCCCCCCCCCCCCCACACACACACAGACATCCCAAAGTCCTAGGACCAGAGAAATTTAGTGGCACTTGAATAATAGCAGTGGGAGTGTTTGCTATTAAACAGGAGTTATGCCTTTTACAAGATAGTCCAATCGGAGGAAATGTGTATCATATTTTTCCTCTAGTCAAGATGAAAACAACTTTGAGCTCCTGGAAAATATACTTGATTCTTGTTATTCATCATAGCTATGCTTTCTGAAGTAGCTGTGAGTCCAGAATTAGTTACTACTGAACCATTGCTCTTAGAGGGTTACATTCTTGGGGAGCCTCTTGTCACATGTTCATCAAATAATTAATATATAACCTTGTTTTACGTGTTTCTTTTTAAAGATATCTAAATCTTGCCCTAGCCAGTTTTGTGCAATGGTTAAAACGTCGGTCTGTAAACTTAATTCCCGGTCCCAGTTGGGGTACGTGTGGGAGGCAACCAATAAATGGGTCTCTCTCTCCCTTCCACTCTCTAAAACCAATGGAAAAAAGTATTGGCAGGTGAGGATTAACAACAAAAATATATAAATCGTACAAATAATTATATACAATATATTGATTTCAGAGAGGAAAGGAGAGAATCGTTGATCAGCTGCCTGCTACACGCCCCACGCCAGGGTTAGATCCCGCAACCTGGGCATGTGCTCTGACTGGAAATCGAGCCATGACCTTCTGGTTCATAGGTTGACCCTCTGAGCCATGCTGGCCGGGCTATAGTATTTCTCTATACAGAAACACTAGCTGAGAAGGACTTAACATTTTCCTGACTCTTAGTAATATAACTAAATTTCTTTGGCTTTCAGCCTCTCAGAATGCTGACCACTTCCCCGCGCATTAATCTTCACCTGAGGATATTTTTTCCGTTGATTTTTAGAGAGGAGAGGTTTTAATAAACCAGTCATCATCTTGTAAGTCCATAAATTTAGCTATTTTTCCATAGCTTTATCACACACTACAGATACTGCTTTTTGATGGAGCATCCTCATATACAGATTGGTAAATTTCCTCTTCCTTTTTCTGGGTGTACATTGTTGATTCATGAACATTGGATTCACAACCAACAGCACTGTAAGTCATGCCTGGACAAAGCTAATCTAACCCATGTATTTTCCCCATCAGGCACATCATGGCCTCCTTGTACTTAGGAACACTAGACAGCCCTTCAGTCCTATGCCGGGGACCATTTTAAACAGTGAAATAACCAAAACGCCAGCATAGAAGGAAAACAAAAAGTACAAATAATGTGGCACTAAATAACACCATCAAGAGGACACTTTAAAATAGGAGAACTGAAACAAGGCAGAATTGAGTTGTTCAGTCTCAGCTGGGAACAAGCCCACTGGGCAACTCGGAATGTCCACTGCTCTGCATATGTCTGCCATGATCAGGAAAGCACCGTGAGTATTGAGATTATAAATAAGTTTTAGTGAGTAGGTGAGTTTGTAAAAATAGAAGCTCCAAATAAGGACAGAAAATGTATTCTTGTAACTCTGCTATTTATTCAACAAAGCAGATGACCAATAAAAACCGACAGTGCTTTCCAGTCATTAATAAATCTCTATCTGCCCATTTGAGCAGTAACAGAAGGGTAGCTTGCTAATCTTTCACCCTCTAATGGGACACACAAAAACTGGGCAGGCCCTTACATAGCTCAAGAGGCTCATCCTTGTAATAGTTGATAAATGGCTGTCTGACAGGCAATTCACAGCAGACTGTTTTAAGACTCTGCTGGCAATGATGTGCTCAATATACTTCTGTTAAGCTTTAACAGTTGCCTTCTAACTTACCCTGATGAACTTAAAGAGTATTCACCAAGGTTATTTTTGTTTTTAAAGGCAGAAGTCATGATTTTACAGATTAAGGGAATAGGCTCAGATGTTACATGACTTTCCCAGTGTCACAGCCATCAAGTGGCAGAGCCAGAAACTGACTCCAGGTGTGTTACATTCCAAGATCCTTTTAGCAAGAAGGTAGGCAGCACCAAATTTGGAAAGCCCATTTCTTTCCAGGTAACACTCTATTGGTGAGCCCTGTCTATGAGAGCCTCTTCTATTCCCCAAACAAAATGATCAGAACCTCCTCACTCTGCTTTTATCTCTAACACACCTGTTTTGGGGTCTGCCGAATTTTGAATATTTTCAAAGAGTTTCTGGTGTACGTTGACCTTTTATGAGTAGAAAGAAGACTTACCCGTTTGTGCTGTCTTGCGAGTTTTTCTTTAGCTTCATCCAGCTCTTTCTGTATCTTCAGAACGTGTTTGTTCATCTTACGAATTGTAGAGTGCAGGATTTCCCAAACAAACAATCTTAAAGTAAAATGGCATTTGGTTACTGTATGCTAACCTATGCTTACAGAAAATAAGATCTCTCAACTTTTATAACCTACTCACTCTTAAGGTCTGGTATAGCCTTCCACTCTTTAGGCAGAATTAGTCATATTGTCCCCATCAACATGTAAGCATCTATCACTACCCATTAGACCAGTGATGGCGAACCTTTTGAGCTCGGCGTGTCAGCATTTTGAAAAACCCTAACTTAACTCTGGTGCCGTGTCACATATAGAAATTTTTTGATATTTGCAACCATAGTAAAACAAAGATTTATATTTTTGATATTTATTTTATATATTTAAATGCCATTTAACAAAGAAAAATCAACCAAAAAAATGAGTTTGCGTGTCACCTCTGACACGCGTGTCATAGGTTCGCCATCACTGCATTAGACTCAGGTGAGCTTCCTGAAGGCAATACTGGGTTCTTGTCATTTTTCTTGTTTCCATTGCCTACGAGATACACACATTGAAGAAATGTGTGCATATTCATTGAAATGAAATGGCAAGCCAGAAAAAACATGAACAAAACTACATGTTCTCATTTAAACACTAAATATTGGAATTTTCTTGAAATGAAGACCTAATCTGAGGCTCATTCTACATGCTTTATACTATTTAGCACACACTCAGCCAATTCTCTTAGAACATTTAAGAAACTCATTAGTTGATAATAGCTGTAAACTGCTGGGCTTTTAAGAGTAAGATAAATATTTTGCCCTAGCCGGTCTGGCTCAGTGGATAGAGCGTCGGCCTGCGGACTGAATGGTCCCGGGTTCGATTCCGGCCAAGGGCACATGCCCGGGTTGCAGGCTCCATCCCCAGTGGGGGGTGTTGCAGGAGGCAGCCCATCAATGATTCTCTCTCATTGATGTTTCTAGCTCTCTCTCCCTCTCCCTTCCTCTCTGAAATCAATAGAAATATATTTTAAAAAAAAGAGTAAGATAAATATTTGTATGTCAGCTACCTTATCAGCAAATTGCTAAAGTACCAGAATCACCTTGTAGGTGCTTTTAAGTGACTTCTTAACTACTTTTCTGTCTATAAAGTAGGTCTCCTTACCCCAAGACATAGAAGAGTAGTACTTCCTTGTACAAATTCTGACTTGGATGACAGTTTTAAGTGGAAGATTGTCTTACTATCTGTTTCGAATGTTAACAGACAGGATTAAAAAAAAGAGTACTTTAACTCTGGAAAGGGTGGTCAGAGAGAACTTCACAGAAATAGCTGAGCTTGGACAGAGCTCTTGAGCAATGTATCCATTCAAGAATGCATGTGTTTGAATTCCAGCTCTGCACTGAGCTATGCAACTTTGGGCAAGCTACTTAAGCACTCTGTAACACTTTCTACTTTGTAAAATATGGAGGATAATGTAACCTCTTTTGCAGTGGTGTTGTAAATGAGCTGCAAATGTAAATCACTCAGGATAATGGCTAACACATACTTGGGTAGTCACTTTTTTGCGAGTTTGCAAGTCTGTTGCTTTCATTTGTGAATGCCAACTTAGCCAGTATGATAACCTTAGATCATATCCTTTCACCCTAAGGACTCAGTTTATTTCAGACCAGTGTCCTCTGCCAATAACAGACACAATGAAAAGGATAAATGCTTAGTGTTTAAATTTTTATGTCTTTGTAAGTAATTTCCCTTTGTTCCCTGTTTTGTGTCAATTCCTGTTGTCTGAGTCCTGATCAATCAACTTCATGAATAAGAACCAAACTTAATGAAAAGTCTCTTTCCTTTAGGGGGAAATGGGTGTAGAATGAACCTTCTGCATTAAATCCAGGATTTTTATGACTGAGGTGAGACCTCCCTCCCTCACAGGCATCTGGGTGTCCACCACGCTTCCCTCAGTTCTCTAAGGATGTATATTTAATCTGTGGCTATTCTCCCAGTTCCTAGTGTGCATTCTAGGTCCCCAATGGAGCTGGAATTCTTTTCCGTGTTCCATTGTCTAGCGAGACTCTGACACACAGCCTGATCTTCTCTAATAATTTAGATCCTTATCAGCATTTCTACTTGACTGGTTGAGTCCTGATTCAACTTACACGTGTGTCCCTAAGAGACACTGCAACCTGACTGGCTGTATTTCCACTGCCCGGGTATCTGACCATTAGTACATATTAATATCAACCTGGTTTGGATCAAAATTTGTAGCTCATGTGTAAGAACACACAAAAAACAATTCTTAGAGAATAAGAACTTTGTAAAATAATTCATATTACCTAATAAAGTCACGAGATAGTTCTGAAGAGAAGATCCAATTTGCTACTGCAGCACAGTCAACAATCTGTGTACGAATCATCTTGTCTACTAGTACAGCAATCATCTACAATGAGAGATAAATCGCACTTATACATAGGCCATAATAATCCCACTGCTAGAAAAGTAAAATAGAATGGTTGTAAGACTTATTCTGCCTTCTCCTTAGCTCTGGTACTTATTGCAGGAATACTATAACACCAATAAAGATTGAGCAAAAAAAAGAAAAACTCTGAATGGTAACACAAACTTAAAAAAAATTTAGATAAAACATTTCTATATTTTTGAAGTGTGAGAGTGGTATTATCATAAAAATCTTAAATGTATTCTGAAACCTATTTAAATGCCTCTGTATAACTCATGGTATAAAAACAATACATTAAGATTGAAAAATCTGGTGTGTGTTTGCAGAAACTGGTTAACTATTTCCTACCCTATTGGTAGAATCTTTAATTTGTACTATTTAAAATGTGTTGAGCTCTGGGTGTTTGACTCAGTAGATAGAGCGTCGGCCTATGGACTGAAGGGTCCTGGATTGCAGGCTCGATCCCCGGTGAGGGGGCAGCCGATCAATGATTATCATAGATGTTTCTATCTTTCCCTTTCTCTCTGAAATCAATAAAAATGTATTTTAAAAAACGTGCTGATATTATAGTCCCAAATCATAATACTTGCTCTTAAAAAAAACCTCAACCAAATATCATTAATTCACAGCATTAAAAAAATTACATAGATTTAAAAACCATCCTATAGACAGTCAAATGTCATGTTTACAAACTGAAACAATGGTAATAAATAGCCTTGTTTTTATACCCTATACAATAAGAGCCTCAACATGTATAATTAAGTAGTTTTTACCTGTGGATGGTTCCTCCAGACCTCAAACATAACTCTTAGAACATGTAACTTTCCTTCATCACTTTCAGCTAGGGTTTTGAAGACTTCATGAAACCTTTTGATAGTGGGAGAAAAAAATACTACTTAAAAACTTATTCATTAAGCATTTTACTGTTTCAAAGACTTTTCAGTATTAATTTACAGTGCAAAATAACCAAATGTTAACCATTAAGGATATATAGAAAAGGAATGATTAGAAATTCAGTTTGTATGTAATTTGTCACAAAATCTTAAGAGATTTACAATATACCATTGTTAGCCCAGGACTACAGTTTACTGTGTATCTAAGAATAAGTGAGGTCTAAGGAATCATCTCCAAACACTGGTGATGTGTTCTGTGTGACTCACATTCTGTGGGAACCCTGCAAGTAATATAGGCTGAGACAGGGCGAGGAGGTCAGTTTCTCTGTTTGGCTGGAGGAATATCTGTATGTTCTAATTCTGGACTGTCTGACGAGTTAGAAAGCTTTCTTTAGATGTCAAACTGAGTGGCTCCCAAAAATGCAGTGGACTCTCATTTCTGCTTAAGTTTCTTTAGGAAGATGTCTAGACAGGGTAGGAGTTTCTTGACTATATACTAGTATATGACTGTCCTAAGGACCCAAGTTTTCCACTGGTTTCTCTAAAGGTCTATATAAAAAAATGCATTCCATGTATATATGTAAACTACATACAGATGACAGAAGCCATAGGACAAGGATTTTAGTTACCACAAACCAAAACCCATTGTATCAAGTTACATTGTAATACTAAGATCTTCATATTCAGCAACTTTAGGTAAAAATGACTATTCTGCTGGTATTCAAGCAAAGTTCAAAACCTAAAGAAAGGGGGTGTGTTCTTGTTACACTTACTTTGCAAGAGCACTGAAGGAATGGCTGAATGATTTGGCTGCCAAATGTAGCAGAGTCTGCACAAAAACCTCTATTTTCAATGGGTTAAAGCTGAATCCTTCATCTGAAAAATATTCCATAGTAAGACAGAACCTAAGTACAGCAATTCCTTGGTCCCTCACCTGGAATGCTAAACAGATGGTGTGCTCACATCTAAACACCAAGTCAGACACCCATGTAACATCTGTGAGTACTAACAGGCAATAAAAGACCACCACTGATTTCAGATACTCAAGATATAAAACTAAGCATAATCGTAATTCTTCATTTTTTGGCTATTTCCCTAATTCTTCTATGTGATCCATTTCTTTTATAAATATCACATAGATTTCCTTGTTCTTATCTCTCTATATGGTAGCAAGGTAAATTCTATAATAATAAAAGCGTAATATGCTAATTAGACCGGAGAGCCGAATGACCTTCTGGACGTCCTTCTGGACGAAGCCGGGGTTGCAAGGGCCAAGCCCCTAGCACAAATTTCGTACATTGGACCTTTAGTATATTAATAAAAAAAAAAAATTACAGTAAACTCTAAACACTTCAGTCTATGTCCTAAGAAGTCTGACAATGTCTAAATTTAATATACTTTTGACTTAGGCTTTCTAATTACATTTTCTCTAAAATCCTAAGTGTGTTAGAAAAATCCAAACAAAATCCCAGTAATAAATAACCCAAAGACCATTAATGTTTTATTTTGATTAGCCCTTTTTTTATGCACGTCTTATTCAGATCTAATAAAAAAAATTTTTTTCTCCTGAAAGCTACCTAGTTGTCGCAGATTTTCATCTGTTTTACTGATTTGTC